GAGACTCTTGCAGATTGCAGATGTATTGACAAAGGCATTGTCTGCTGTTCAATTTTCTGAGCTGAGAAAGCTAAATGTGATTGCAGTCCCCTGTGCTACATACTGACTCTTAACTGATTTCTGTGCTGCACACTGACTTGTAACTAATTTTGCAAAATGCAGTTTGTAGTTTTTTACAGGTGTGTTGTTGAACAAAATTTGTGGTGAGTGTTGAAGCAGTTGTGGCAGATTGTAGTATTGCCAAGATGTGGGTATTGTAGTNTGGTTCTCATCAACTTCTTGTAAAGCTTAGCCTAAGAAAACAGTTCTTCATTCCAACCAAAGTCGGTTCACTAAATGAGTTGTTTAATGTCAATATATCTTTTGAATTACCTTAAATGTTCTTTACCCAAGGCTAATCTATACCTGGAACTATTTCCATAGAATCCAGACCTCAAGGACCCTTTGACCTGATCTGAACCTTTGCTAACTGTTGGAGTGATATCAAATGTATAAAAAATGATAAAACAGATTTGACAATTTTGATTGTTTGCTGTTGAATTTTAGAGCCCTTAAAAATTTTTAGTCAGATGGAGTGCAATTCTATCTGGTAGGGTTGTCTAGTCCAATTACTTATTTCAGTATGAAATTGCTTTCATTTGCCTTTTAAAAGGGGCTATGTGCAAATTCTGCTCATGGTTAACTCTTTTACATGTTTCAGCTAAAGCGTTTCAACAAGATGTTACAAAAAGCTGACAATAACTCATGTACCGATCACTCTCTCCCGTCCAGTTCAATTGAGTCACTTCAGCCAATTTATATATCTGGTAATTTCTTGCCTATTATTTCTATGCATAATTAACACTTCACAGTTTCAAGCTTATTCTGTAGACCATTTGCATATTTGTGTTGATATTGTTATTTATTGTCTAAATAATTTGGACTGGGTAATCCACATTATTATTGTTGCCTTCCTAAACTTACATCTTTATTTGTTAGCCTATCAAGGGCAAAAGGTAGTGAGATTCTCCTTCTTGAAGGGTTGCTTGCATCTTTCAAGTCAATGGAGACTTTTAGCTTGGTTAATGGACCATGTCAAAATCAATTTATCTTTCTTCATGATCTGAATGTTTCAGCGCTGGAAAAGCTGAAGGAGACGGTTGAATCTGAAGCATCCAGGAAGCGTAAATTTGGGTTCAAGTTTTCTAAAATCAGAAAAGGCAAAAAAGTGCATGGTGCAAAGGTATAATTCTTTCAAGTTCTGACTAGTTAGATAGTAAGGATGCCATGTAATCCCGAAAGAATTTTGATCTTGACTCTTGAGAGTGGCCATTTAATTAAAATATGCCAGAAGTGGATCACTCGCTCATTTCTTTTAAGCATTGAGGTGACAACATTTTACTTGAGAAGATGATTTTTAGTTCTTTAGAGGCAGAGTGTTGCCAATTGGTATCATTTTCTGGCACATGAGATATGAGGTGTTGGCAATTTTGGGAAAAGTTATTAAACAAATTGTAGTTCTATAATGTTTTTTTTAAAAAAAAAAAATTAATTACTAATTTGTATAATATTTCAACTTAATGACGGTTTTGTAAAGCCATGAAAATCAATGAATTAGCCAAATATACAATGTTTTACTTTTTTGAGTTCATAATAATTCTCTTCTCTTAGTTATCTGAATTAACTATTTATCTCTTATCGTCAATTTGTAGTTTCTATCATTTGATCTATGAAAAGGGAAGTGTTATTCAAAGTTATCTTAAGGGGAAAATTGGTTAAACTCAATAAGCGGTGAAAGAAAATAGCAATTTAATTTGTGCTGAATAAAGTGTAAGGGAAAATTTTCTAAACCTCCTGAGGTATACTCTAACCACTAAACCCCTGTTGTGTTGAAAATAAGCCCCCAAGTGGCCTCGAGCAAGGGCAAGGCTGCGATGGTGGCCTTATTGCAAGACGTCGCCCTTTAATCCCTTTGCCCCATTTTTCTTTTATTTTTTCAATAAATTTTTGTGTATTGATTTTATAATTGTTGCGTTAATTAAATATTTTTGGTTGGTTTTGTGGGTGGTGGATGGTTTGTGAATGATGGAGACGGTTTTATGCATGGTGGGGATGGGGTANCTAACGAATTTATGGTGCAGAGTGTTAAGTTGCAGATTTGTAGATTTGTGATTTTGAGACAGTTTACAGATTGTGCTCACGAGTTTATGATGCAGAGTTGTTAAACTGGAGATTTGTGATTGAACTTCAGATGGTTGAGCTGAGAAATGCAGTTTATAAGTTGTGTATGACAGTCTTGAACTTCAAATGATTGAACTAAGAAATGTTAAGTTGTGAAGCTGAAACTGCAAATGTTGAACTGAAAATGAGATGTTGTTTAAGTTGATTGTCATGTTTGGTTGTTGAGTTGATGCTGATGTGAAGTTTGATTAGCTGAAGTTGCAACAAAAAATGCAGAACTGAAAATGAGTTGTCGTTTTGAGTAGTGAGCAAGTTTTTTTTTTTGGTAGAGTTAAAACTTGAAATTATTTGAAGAAGTTGAGCGTTTGTTGACTGAAGGGATTAAAAGAGAATAGAGGTAGTAGAACAAGAAAGAGATTTTAGTTTCAGAGCGGATGTTGGTCAAAGAGCCAATGAATTTGAAAAGAAATGCTAAGAAAAGCTGATGAAAGAGAAAGAGAAAGACTACCAAAGCAGCAGAAGAAGAATGTCCAGTTGGAGAGGGGACGTTGGTCAAAGGACAAAAGTGCAAAAGAGTCAAGTAGTAGGAGGAAAATGTAATTCTGCAAGACGGTGTTGTTTTTTATTATAATAAAAGCAGTTATAAAACGCACTTTAACTTTACTCTTCGTTTTTGTATAAAAGAGCAAAATTTTTCTCTTCACTGTAGCTGTTGAAATTAGTTTATCAATAAAGAAATTCAAGCACTTTTCTCTCTGTTTTTTGCTTTGTTCGCAAACGCTAAGCTAAATTTACACTTATTTCCTTCCCGTGTCTTTTTTTTATCTCTCCTCTTCTTCTTCTTCTTCACTCCGTCGTCCATTTCCTTGTTCTTTTTCCTTCTCGTTTCCTTTTATTTCCTCTCCTCCTGTTATTCTTCTTCACTCCATTGCTCCTTTCCTTTTATCTTTTTTTTTTCTTTATTTCCTTTTCTTCTATTTTTTCCTTACCTTTTCTTCACCCCGACACACATCCTGCCACGACACATGTGAGTCTTGCCACACGAACCAGTGCCATAGATAAGCCACAAGGTTGTAGATTTCGGCTGGGTCTGTGGAATTTTTGGGTTTTATTTCAAATCAATGTTACAGATTTTACATAGGTTTGTGGATTTTTAATTTCGGCGCGAGTTGTGAGTTTGTATTTGTAGATTACAGATTGTGAAGTAAGCTTTTCTGGCTAGTTTTGTGGATTTTTAATTTGGGTGTGGGTTGTTTTTGTGTTCATAGTTGTTCATATCTTTATAGAACAGAAAAACCCGGTTAAAAAACGACTACCCGTTTTGTTCAGCGGACACCCAACAACAGAACAAAGCACTACCTGAAGTACAGCGTTTACAACTGTTGAAGGACGCTAGCACCTTACTGCGACCCCCTACCAGAAACTCAGAGACACGAGCGGCCACTCTGAAATGTTGTTTCTCTACAATCTGGACGCCACGTAGCAGCCCCCTAAGTCCACCTGAAGTTGCCTGAAGCCGGAACTGCTGCAGCAGGCGACATCTCGTTAAAACTACAATTTTTTTTTTCTATTTTTTGTTTTATATTTTCATTAAAAATGTAATTTATTTTTTGTTTTAAATTTTTATACATCCGGGTCCGGGTTGAATTAGGTCTGGTTGAGACCCGGATATACCCGGCCCGAGAGTTTTACATCGCTGGAACTCCAAAGGTGTTTTCTTTATTCTTTTCTGTTGGTTTTAGGGATCTACTCGAGCTCGGCTCGTCCTAAGCTCAAGCTCGAGCAGCCTGTGAACAGTGACGAGCCGAGTTCGATCCGGGCCGAGCTCGGCTCGTCAGGGTCGCGATCTTAAACGAGCTTAGGGGCCAATTTGCAAGATTTCAAAAGTTTTTTTATTTTTAAGTTGTCAAAATTGCAAATAGCGCCCATAAACAAAAACGCAGAACCCATATCAAAGCTGAAACAAAAACTCAAACAGTCAAAACCCATTTGCGATTTTTCGTTCAACCCTAAGTCCTAACTCTCCGCTGCCATTCGCCGTAAATCAGTCACTCACGACTCACGAGTCAAGCCGCCGTCGTGGACAACTTCTCCGGTGCCATTAGCTGTCACTGACTCACCGAGTCACCGTCATCTCTGTTCTCTGCAGACCAGTGATTTCGCTCCAGCAATCCAGCCTTCCAGGTAAGAAATTTTATTTATTAGTCTTTGGATACATTCATCTTTATGTCTACAATGACTCTACATTAATGACAGTGAAGTGAGTTATCTTCTCTTACAAACATTTGCTCTGTCAGTTTGCGTTTGCGTTATCTTCTCTTACTTCATCCATTAATGGCAGTTTGCGTTTGTCCTTTTATGAACTTTAATAAGGCTCGAGCTCGAGCTCGAGTACATCTTCACACTCGCGAGCTCGAGCTCGAACACGAATACTGAAGCTCGACCAAGCTCGAGCTCGAGCTTGAGCTTGCTACTGTTCATCACGAGCCGAGCTCGAGTACCGAGATACTCGGCTCGGCTCGTATACATCCCTAGTTGGTTCTAAAAGCCTCTCGTGTTTCTACTTCATTCCAGGGTTTAAAGTGTTCTTTGTTTTTTAAAACCAAAAAAAAAAAAAAAAAAAAAAAAAGGAAGGAGGTAGTGAGATAAAAGCGAGCCAGTTTTGCATGTGCGAAGGCCAGTTACGTCACTAACTTTGAAGAACGAACTCTTGAAGCCGTCCCCTGTCTGGACCCGGGTAGCCACAAATATTTTTGTTGGTTAATTTTATAATTTTATAGTGTTTTAGAGTATGCATTGATGATTTGTATTAAATTAGGTTGAAGGTGGCTTTGCAGAAGATGGTATCTCGTCACTCTCCCCAGTGCAACTTGCAGTTGGCAAGAACCATAGGCCTGGTTGTTTTGAACGAGATCTCTGCATCAATTCACCAACGAAACGGTAAAACTTTAGCTTTGCTTTGCCGTAGTGCAAATGTTGTCGAATCGTGCAGTTAAATGTCTGCGAGCTTTAGTGGTTTTGCCTACTCGTGATTTAGCCTGCAGGTATTTTTTCTCAGGACTGTATTGCTGTATCTGTATTGTCATATTACCTAAGTTTGTAGAATAAATACTATTTCAAACTCTATCGATGTACTAAATGAATGGAGAGTTTAGGTAATGAAGTTTAGTCATTTAATGAGGATGGATAATTTTTTATTTTAGTTGTTCTTGTCAATTAAAAAAAAACCTAGATACTATAATATGTAATGCATTTCATCTATGATTTTTTTTTTTTCAATCATCTATCTTCACAATTAATGTGATTGGTAATTATTTAGCTGAATGTAATATCTCCATGGTATTATAGACTCTTCACTTGGGAAGTACAGTTGTACTCATATTGTTACGAGGACTTTTTCCTGTTTTATGATTTACTTATATATTTGTCTTGTGACATTGTACAATTTAACATTGATGCATACTGACATTGTAGCGATATCCCTATTTGAAACTACATTTGGGTTTCTGATGGAGTATGTGATTACTTTTCTGTTTCTAATTCAGGTCAAAGAAGTTTTTTCTGCAATTGCACCTGTAGTTGGTTTATCTGTTGGTTTGGCTGTGGGTCAATCTTCAATTGCTGATGAAATTTCAGATCTTGTTAAGAGGCCTAAGCTTGAGGCAGGAATCTGTTATGACCCAGAAGATCATTTCCAAGATTTACAAAGTGCTGTAGATATATTGGTGGCCACCCCAGGAAGACTTATGGACCACATCAATACAACTAAAGGATTTACACTTGAGCATCTATGTTACCTTGTAAGATGCTCATCTTTCCTATCAATGACTTTTATATTTATATTTTTTTTTTAATCTAATTGAAACTTAATGAAGATTTGTCTGTTGGAGAGATTGATTACTCTTGGTTGATTCTATCCTTGATATGTGGTACATAATTAATTCTTATTAATCTTGTTAACTAACTTTCACCTGAGATTAATGATTGATGATGTATGTGATCGTAAATCTGGTCCATCTATGTCTTTGCTAGTTACTGAACAATGCTTTTATCTGTTAATCGGCTATAGCAACATAAAGTATGATTTACATTTCTGAATCATGATTTATTTTAGGATTACATTTATCATCTTGAGAATCAAATTATTATTTGTGCATGTGCTTAGTTGTAGTGAACCATCATTGTATACTTCATTTTAAGTTATTCCTTATGCTGAATATGTATGCTATTTAGGTGGTTGATGAAACAGATCGAATGCTTAGGGAGGCATATCAAGCCTGGCTACCAACTGTACTTCAATTGTCTCGCTCTAATTATGAAAGCCACTTTCGTTGTGGAAATACTTTTAATCATTCTATATTTGGTTCCTTAAAAACCATTAGAAGATGGTAAGATCAATGTTTGTTTACTTCCTTTATTGCCCCTATTTGTTTTACATCTATTTAAGTGTTGAGGCATTAGTTTATCTTGAAGATTAAACAAACTGAATTTGTTGTATGGATAATCTTGTATTTGTTGAATGTGTTAAATTACAATGCTTGATATATTCAGACTTGTCCAAACATTGTTTCATATTTACTGCAGTGGTGTTGAGAGGGGATTTAAGGATAAGCCTTACCCCAGGCTTGTGAAGATGGTTTTATCTGCCACATTAACACAAGATCCAAGCAAGCTTGCTCAGCTTGATCTGCATCACCCTTTATTTTTGACAACTGGGCAAAGTCGTTATAAGCTGCCAGATAAGTTGGAATCGTACAAACTGGTATGAAAAATCATGACTTTACTGCTGAAATTATGGGCTGTCTATGAGGAAAATTATTTCTAATATCTGAGTTTTGGATTCTGTTTTGGTATAGGAAGTCAGGGCTTGAATTCATGTCCAAAAACTATGAAAAATATATATTTTATTGAAGAATGAAATATGACAGATACTCCATGAACTTGTCAGTTTAACAGTTTTTATTAATTTCTGATTTTAGCAATTTATACCGTTATCACTAATGAAGCTTAGAAAATGTATACCTTTTGAACCGTGATCCGAACTTGAAAGCTCATGGCAGGGTTCATAGTTTAAATAAATTTGAAAAATTTGTGATTCTGTCCCTATTTAAAGTTATATGATAGCCTGTTAATCTCTTAAATTATGATCAATGTTGCCCTTCACCTTCAAAATTTGTTTAAAACTTGGAAGATCTAGAAGTTCAAAATCTGTTATTGAGTTCAACTAGGAGTTGAGTTATCATAAACAAATACCTGATAAAAAATATGTCCTAGGTTTCCTTGAAATATGTTTAGCTCTTATGTTGATTGATAGAATGGCCATAGTAATTAGTATTTCTTCTATCTAGAATATGATGTTGCATGACTGTTGTTTACCATAACCAGAGGACAACGCATTTCAAGACTCTGAAATGTTGTCAAGGGCAGTTCAATTGTAATAAATGGACTAATATATTCACCTGTTTTTGTGTTTGGTCTTCATCTCTGTGTTCATGTGCCTAGTTTTTCTTTTTTGTAGATTTGCGAGTCAAGCTGAAGCCCTTGTATTTGGTTGGTCTTTTGCAAAGTTTAGAAGGGGAGAAATGCATTGTCTTCACTTCATCTTGTAGTCACTCATCGGCTATGCACCTTACTGAACTTTTTTGGTGATCTAAAGTAAAGATCAAGGAGTATTCAGGTCTTCAACCAATCTGTAAGAAGGTAATCTCAGGATGAATTTCTCTTTATTCATAAGACTTGTGTTAATATGAGCCTACATGAAAATTGTGTGGTGTTGCTGTATAAATTAGGATGGTCTAGGATAGGAGAATTACTTTTTATTGTCATTTAAATTCACTATTTTTCACTTTTTTGTTAAAGATTAGGGAAAAGTTTGAGATTTAGAGTTGCTCTTTTGTCGAATCATAATCAATGCAAATTATTTAGTCAGTTTTGTTTGAAAAGATCTTAACATAGAGATTAACCTTTGCATTCAATTGGAAATAATTATGACGGGGGTAATTGCAAAATAGACTTTATCTTTTTTAATAAGAAAAAAAAATGAACTAGAAGATACAATTTTTAATATCACAGATAGAGGACACTTATAGCCAAATTTATTTTAATTTTAGTGAATTAGAGTTAGTCATGCAAAATGTATGAATTACTTTGGCGTAGAGGTAACATAGTCTGGAAACTTCGTTTGTACCATAGAGCAGCAACTGAAAAGTGAAAAAAAAATTATTAACACAATCATGCTTGAACTCATTAGTTACCTTGCCTTGCATTTCATTGTCAATTATGTTTGCCCTGTTCAAATCTTCTTCTTCCTCCTTTGAACACAAACACCTCAGCAAACTCCTCAATCTGAAGAAACTGAAGGTGGTTTTTCATAGGAGCGCCCTTTACTTTTTCCCGATATAGCATAAATTTTTATTTTGATTTTTAAGGAATTGCTATTGCGTGCACTGTAGTTTCATTATAACTAATTGAACCTGTGTCATTGAGATTTTGGTTTATATCAAATGAATATGGTGGGTTGATTTGTTTGTGAGAAATCAATTCATATTTTCATGCAGGGCTGGTATTATTATGCCATAGGCTGAGGAATTGCTAGTACTACTATTGGTAAACAATAGTAACTTGTTTTGGGCATTGCTTTGTATTTGACCTAAAAATCAAGCGCATGATGCTTTGTCCTGAAATCAGTTTGTTTTTTTTTTTTTTTGTTTTTCCCTTTTCTTATTGTATTCCTTTTGTCCTCAAAGTTTCCATTACAGTATGTTGAATTTGAAAATTGGGAACCACTGCTACATTTATCTTCACATTTAGAAAACTTATGGGTATATGCCTTAGTAAATTGTAAATGGTTTTAAGATCATTTGAACCTTTGATCGTACCAAAGGTCTTAACCACTCAACTTAATCTTTGGGTTTTTTCCTGGCCATGTTTTGGGTTCTTTTGTGCAATACCAGTCTACGTGGTGATCAAATGAGAAAATGATTGCCTAAATTTTTCAAAGTATTTTTTTATTTTGTAGAAATGTATCTAATTCCGTCATATAATGTCCCCAGCTGGGAAAATGGCTATCTTCACAGCTGACTTAGCATGTAACAGTTCACCATTTGGTCTGCATGGTGATATTCAAGTATTATTTTGCATGGTGAAATGCTTTTATTTTGCCAGCCTACGAGGTAAGGCAATTGTCTATTTCTCATTTTACCAATTGAGAGGAATGAACAGCAAAAGTGGACACAAGATAATAAAATGCGTTACTTAAAATCAGTAATACCTTACTTACCTCTTTTAATTCGTTCCTTCTGAGCTAATGAATTTACAGCCTTAACTCACACCCTTTTATCTCTCTATTCCCTTTCCCTTTCTTCATGTTACCCTACCACTTGGAATGTAAAGTTCTACAAAAATGACTTTGCTTGTTCTAATACCTCATGCTGACTCTGTTTTAGAGGACTTTTGAATCTAATGGCTAAGGTATTATCCTTTTGTTCATGGAAGGGAAGGAAAAAGTTTAGATTTATTCTATGATGCATGACCCTTTCTTCACTTGATCGGTGATTGCGATATCAAAAGGTTATATGAATAATTTGATAATATTGTATTGTAATGTAAATGTAAATTTTTCATATTCCAGCAAGACTCTGAAGCAATTTCGTGAGGGGAGACACAAGTGCTTGTTTCCTCTGACGCAATGACTCGAGGGATGGATGTTGAAGGGGTGAGAATGTTATTAATTATGATATGCCTGCATACATCAGACATATATTCATCGAGTTGGCCGGACTGCAAGAGCAGGCCGGACGGGGCGTTGCTTTACTTTGTTGCGTAAGTTTGAGGTATGCTGCCTCTTGACTCTTTACTGCTTCTAATTATATATGTTGTCATGCTGCATGGATTCAACAATAACATCCTTTTCTGTGTATTTAAGTTTAGTTAAACATGTATATTAACTGTGGATTCATATTTTGGTAGTTCTTACATCTGGGTAATCAAGATTGTTGGGTATTTGATTTATCAGCTGCTTGTAAAATTTAGCCTAAGATTGGTTCTTCATCACAACCAAGTCTGTCACTAATGGCTATACAATTGGTGTTTCTTTTAATTACTTTGAATGTTCCTGGACTGAGATTGATTGAACCAGGAAATTTAGTTGGTTGGTTCTCATCAACTCTTGTAAAGCTTAGCCTAAGAAAACAGTTCTTCATTCCAACCAAAGTCGGTTCACTAAATGAGTTGTTTAATGTCAATATATCTTTTGAATTACCTTAATGTTCTTTACCCAAGGCTAATCTATACCTGGAACTTTTCCAAGAATCCAGACCTCAAGGACCCTTTGACCTGATCTGAACCTTTGCTAACTGTGGAGTGATATCAAATGTATAAAAAATGATAAAACAGATTTGACAATTTGATTGTTTGCTGTTGAATTTTAGAGCCCTTAAAAATTTTTAGTCAGATGGAGTGCAATTCTATCTGGTAGGGTTTGTCTAGTCCAATTACTTATTTCAGTATGAAATTGCTTTCATTTGCCTTTTAAAGGGGCTATGTGCAAATTCTGCTCATGGTTACTCTTTTACATGTTTCAGCTAAAGCGTTTCAACAAGATGTTACAAAAAGCTGACAATAACTCATGTACCGATCACTCTCTCCCGTCCAGTTCAATTGAGTCACTTCAGCCAATTTATATATCTGGTAATTTCTTGCCTTTATTTCTATGCATAATTAACACTTCACAGTTTCAAGCTTATTCTGTAGACCATTTGCATATTTGTGTTGATATTGTTATTTATTGTCTAAATAATTTGGACTGGGTATCCACATTTATATGTGTTGCCTTCCTAAACTTACATCTTTATTTGTATCCTATCAAGGGCAAAAGTAGTGAATTCTCCTTCTTGAAGTTGCTTGCATCTTTCAAGTCAATGGGACTTTTAGCTTGGTTATGGACCAGGTCAAAATCAATTTATCTTCTTCATGATCTGAATGTTTCAGCGCTGGAAAAGCTGAAGGAGACGGTTGAATCTGAAGCATCCAGGAAGCGTAATTTGGGTTCAAGTTTTCTAAAATCAGAAAAGGCAAAAAGTGCATGGTGCAAAGGTATAATTCTTTCAAGTTCTGACTAGTTAGATAGTAAGGATGCCATGTAATCCCGAAAGAATTTTGATCTTGACTCTTGAGAGTGGCCATTTAATTAAAATATGCCAGAAGTGGATCACTCGCTCATTTCTTTTAAGCATTGAGGTGACAACATTTTACTTGAGAAGATGATTTTTAGTTCTTTAGAGGCAGAGTGTTGCCAATTGGTTCATTTTCTGGCACATGAGATATGAGGTGTTGGCAATTTTGGGAAAGTTATTAAACAAATTGTAGTTCTATAATGTTTTTTTTAAAAAAAAAATTAATTACTAATTTGTATAATATTTCAACTTAATGACGGTTTTGTAAAGCCATGAAAATCAATGAATTAGCCAAATATCCATGTTTTACTTTTTTGAGTTCAATATATTCTCTTCTCTTAGTTATCTGAATTAACTATTTATCTCTTATCGTCAATTTGTAGTTTCTATCATTTGATCTATGAAAAGGGAAGTGTTATTCAAAGTTATCTTAAGGGGAAAATTGGTTAAACTCAATAAGCGGTGAAAGAAATAGCAATTTAATTTGTGCTGAATAAGTGTAAGGGAATTTTCTAAACCTCTAGGTATACTCTAACCACTAAACCCCTGTTGTGTTGAAAATAAGCCCCCAAGTGGCCTCGAGCAAGGGCAAGGCTGCGATGGTGGCCTATTGCAAGACGTCGCCCTTTAATCCCTTTGCCCCATTTTTCTTTTATTTTTTCATAAAATTTTGTGTATTGATTTTATAATTGTTGCGT